CTTAAAACTCATCTTTGATCACCAAAAGTGTTTTCCTTCTTCATGCCTTAAGCTTGAATGTAACTCTACACCTTTGCCTCATTTAGTATACGTGGTTCTATGAATATGCAAATGAGCCCCGCCTCCACTCACTCACTCAGTTCAGACATCCACTCGTTGATGATCACACGTTGATCTGATTGGTTACAAGGTTGTTTGTGACGTCAGAAACACCAGCGATTTCAAACCACGTTTCTGAGACTGTCTTTGGTTCACTGCAGTTTTAAGGAGAAAATACTCTTAATGAATTTGCACATGGTTTTTCTTAAAGAATATTAAAAACACCACATAGACATATAAACAACACAAGCTTGACTTTCACCACAGGGGGACTTTAAACGTAAACTGAATGTAATGTTTTCAGACATGTAACTGCATGTTTATTGCAATTAAATAGAATCGTATTATAGTTTAAATTTATCTTAAATGCAGTTATAGCTGAACTTGCTTAAGTACATCTTTATATATAATTTCACAATTACTTCTATTGTTTTTGAAATATGAAAAAAAAAGAAAAAAAAAATACTGCTGAATGTACTGACAAGCATTTATGGTAAACTAAAATATACTTTAATTTAATTTCTGTTGAAACCTGTATGTCATGTATTTAAATATATTTCTGATGATGTTGCAATATAGTACATTTACAAATATATTAACTTTAAATGTAATATTAAATAAACTACAGTTAAATTAAATTCAATTACTTTATATGTGTAAATTAGTATGTTAGTCAACACATCAAAATAAGTGTACTTAAACCATGACAAAATGATTAATTATATAAATGAAATGACGATATAAAATGTACTTTAGAATAAAACTTTTAATTTAGTATTACAAAGTGCACTCTCTTTAAGTACACCTAAGGTGCCTTTAATTTCATTAATAGTATCTGTAAGTACAGGTTTTTAAAAATACACTTTATTTTATAGTCCTGTTTACCCATACTGTCCCTATTATAGTAGTTGCAATAATAACCCTAACCTCAAACCTACCCCTAAACCTAACCTTAACCCCTGTAGTTACCATATATTACCAGTACTTTCTTAGTTAACTACACTGTAAGTACACATAAGTGCACATACTGTAAAATAAAGTAAGAGCACATTCAATACAATTAAGTGCACTTGTTTTTCACAAGGGTATAGACAAGAACTGCATTTGCATGACTATATAATAGATGTCTGGAGTCACTAATGTCATGGCCGTCATGTGAAACAACATCTAAGATGTAAATCAGCCATTTTGCATAAAACAAACAGAAAAGCTTCATACCAGAGTGCATATCAAATTTTCAACACGATATCCTTCATATTAAACCCTTAAACACACACTTGAAAGCCCTCTTGCCTGCAGATCTGGAGCATCATGGTCATTTATCACCGTGAGACTGTATTCTGCTGAGTGCAGTTTCTCCACTGTCTCCTCAGCACTAAATGAGCTGGGCTTTCTCCTTGGATATGCTCATGCTCCCCCCATCTTAATACTTTCCTCGTTCCACCACAGAGGGGGCGGATAAACGGCATGCTGTGCTCCTTTAGTGGGGAGGCTCGATTAAAGGTTTCGTTTCTTACATGTCTGAGTGTTGCGTTACTGTTGTGTGATGCTTTCGATAAGTGACCATTGTAGATATGTTTAGATGGTATGTTGTGTTAAGTGTTCATGTTAAAGGAAATTCCCCACATTAAAAAAAAAAATTATAATAATAATAATAAATGGCATCATTTATTCACACTCATGTCGTTTCAAACCTGAGGATATTTTGAGAAATGTTTTTTTTTTGGTCCGTATAATGATAGCCAATGAGGGCCAGTGTTGTTTTGGACACCTCTGACTTTCATTGTGTGGAAAAAAACAGAAACATTCTCCAGAATATGTTCTTTTGTGTAACACAGAAGGAAGAAAGTCATACAGGTTTGTAACAACATAAAGGTGAGTAAATAATGACCAAATTGTCAATTTTGGGGTGAACTATCCCTTCAACATCCGTTAGATCAGTGAGTGTTTATTACATTTGTTTTATGTACATTGATGAGCGTTCATCAGCCTTCTACTGTCAGTCAAACAAATCGCTCTCATATTAACTATGCTTAACTATCTATGGTCTATGTGTTTTTATGTTGAATTTGTTCCCTACCTCATTTTGTGAAGACTTTTTCATCAATGATCTCTCTGTACTTCCTGTAAGACCAGTTTACACCAACAACGATAACTATAAAGAAAACTATATTTCTAACTATAAAAGCATACACACCAACCCATGATAACGTTCAGTTTAGGATTCTGATTGGCTGTCAATGTTTTCATTGTTCATGAACTGACTTTTTTTTTATAGGTAGCCTATCGTGCTTGGTGTGAATGGTATGGAAGCTTGTTTCCGCCACAGAATGAAAAAAAAAAGGTAATTGCGACTTTTTATCTCACAATTCTGACTTTTTTTCTCGCAATTCTGACTTTTTTCTCACAATTGCGAGATATAAAGTCAGAATTGATTGATATAAAGTCGCAATTGCGTGTTATAAAGTCAGAAGAATTGATTGATATAAAGTTGCAATTGCGTGTTATAAAGTCAGAATTGATTGATATAAAGTCGCAATTGCGTGTTATAAAGTCAGAATTGATTGATATAAAGTCGCAATTGCGAGATATAAAGTCAGAATTGATTGATATAAAGTCGCAATTGCGTGTTATAAAGTCAGAATTGATTGATATAAAGTCGCAATTGCGTGTTATAAAGTCAGAATTGATTGATATAAAGTCGCAATTGCGTGTTATAAAGTCAGAATTGCGTGATATAAAATCTGAATTGCGTGATATAAAATCAGAATTGCGTCATATAAAGTCGCAATTGCGTGTTATAAAGTCTCAATTGCGTGTTATAAAGTCAGAATTGATTGATATAAAGTCGCAATTGCGTGTTATAAAGTCAGAATTGCGTGATATAAAATCAGAATTGCGTGATATAAAGTCGCAATTGCGTGTAATAAAGTCAGAATTGCGTGATATAAGGTCTCAATTGCGTGTTATAAAATCAGAATTGCGTGATATAAAGTCGCAATTGCGTGTTATAAAGTCAGAATTGCGTGATATAAGGTCTCAATTGCGTGTTATAAAGTCAGAATTGCGTGATATAAGGTCTCAATTGCGTGTTATAAAGTCAGAATTGCGTGATATAAGGTCTCAATTGCGTGTTATAAAGTCAGAATTGCGTGATATAAGGTCTCAATTGCGTGTTATAAAGTCAGAATTGCGAGATATAAGGTCGCAATTGCGTGTTATAAAGTCAGAATTGCGTGATATAAAGTCAGAATTGCGTGATATAAGATCTCAATTGCGTGTTATAAAATCAGAATTGCGTGATATAAGGTCTCAATTGCGTGTTATAAAATCAGAATTGCGTGATTTAAAGTCGCAATTGCGTGTTATAAAGTCAGAATTGCGTGATATAAAATCTGAATTGCGTGATATAAAATCAGAATTGCGTGATATAAAGTCGCAATTGCGTGTTATAAAGTCTCAATTGCGTGTTATAAAGTCAGAATTGATTGATATAAAGTCGCAATTGCGTGTTATAAAGTCAGAATTGCGTGATATAAAATCAGAATTGCGTGATATAAAGTCGCAATTGCGTGTTATAAAGTCAGAATTGCGTGATATAAGGTCTCAATTGCGTGTTATAAAATCAGAATTGCGTGATATAAAGTCGCAATTGCGTGTTATAAAGTCAGAATTGCGTGATATAAGGTCTCAATTGCGTGTTATAAAGTCAGAATTGCGTGATGTAAGGTCTCAATTGCGTGTTATAAAGTCAGAATTGCGTGATATAAGGTCTCAATTGCGTGTTATAGTCAGAATTGCGTGATATAAGGTCGCAATTGCGTGTTATAAAGTCAGAATTGCGTGTTATAAAGTCAGAATTGCGTGATATAAGGTCTCAATTGCGTGTTATAAAATCAGAATTGCGTGATTTAAGGTCTCTATTGAGTGTTATAAAGTCAGAATTGCGTGATATAAAGTCTCAATTGTGTGTTATAAAGTCAGAATTGATTGATATAAAGTCGCAATTGTGTGTTATAAAGTCAGAATTGCGTGATATAAGGTCTCAATTGCGTGTTATAAAATCAGAATTGCGTGATATAAAGTCTCAATTGCGTGTTATAAAGTCAGAATTGCGTGTTATAAAGTCAGAATTGATTGATATAAAGTCGCAATTGCGTGTTATAAAGTCAGAATTGCGTGATATAAAGTCTCAATTGCGTGTTATAAAGTCAGAATTGCGTTATAAAGTCAGAATTGATTGATATAAAGTCGCAATTGCGTGTTATAAAGTCAGAATTGCGTGATATAAAGTCAGAATTGCGTGATATAAAGTCTCAATTGCGTGTTATAAAGTCAGATTTGCGTGATATAAATTCGCAATTATGTAATATAAAGTCAGAATTGCTAGATGTAAACTCGCAATTGTGAGAAAAAAAGTCAGAATTGTGAGATAAAAAGTCGCAATTCTGTCTTTTTTTCTCGCAATTGCGAGTTTACATCTAGCAATTCTGGTAATTCAATTCTGGCAAATCTCATGATTGTGACTTTATATCTCGCAATTGTGAGATAAAAAGTCGCAATTATTTTTTCATTCTTTTTATTCAGTGGCGGAAACAAGCTTCCATAGAAACAAGCTTCCATAAAAACTAAACCCTAAAAAAACGTAAATATAAAAAATAATCTTGCTGCTAAAACCTGAACAGATGTTGCTGATGTGTAAATGTGAGTCATTTTTTAAACGTTTTTTTCAGCTTACATATAGTTTCAAAATATTTGTTTTTTTGGACTTGAGTTAACGTTTCCAAGATCTTTGATTTCAAAATGGAAAAATGGACGACTCGCCCCCTTTAGCACATCTGTTAAGTTGTAAAGTGTTACTTACCTCAGCGTGGAATGGATGTGTGTGTCTGTGAACGCAGGTGAACAGTAAAGCCCTGTCCCGGCTGTCTCAGGACCAGAGTCTGCAGGCGCTGCGCTGTAAGCGTAACACGAGGAGGAGAGCCGGGGGTCCTGGAGCTGCTGGCGGGACGCTGCTCGTGACGGACTGTGTGGACAGCGGGACGCAGACAGACATCAGCTTCCAGCACATGGTGACGTTAGGCCGAGCCGCTCATCACAACAGACCCGCGTCTCCTCCGTCCCCTCCACTGCCACCCATGCCGGAGCCGTACCTCTTCAGACAGCTGTAAGATGGCCTCCAGGACACACACGGGGCTCACTGTTGGGGAGCTTTACTAATCTACACTTCATTTGGTAACACTTTATTTTACAGTGTCCTTGTTACATATGTTACATGTACTTACCATAGTACTAACATTAAATTATGCATAATTACATGCAACTAACCCTCAACCAAGTCCTAATCCTACAGTAAATATGTAGTTGCTTATTATTACTCAGTACTTAAATATATTATTACACTGTATGTGACCATGACAGTGTAACCCTTTATTTTAAGGGGTCATTGTTACAGTGTAATTATAAGTACTGAGTCAAGCTACATGTATTTACTATAGGATTAGGGCTTGGTTGACGGTTAGTTGCATGCAATTATGCACAATTTACCGTTATTACTATGGTAAGTACATGTAACATGTGTAACAAGGACATTGTAAAATAAAGTGTTCAAAATCAATGCTGTTATGATGACGCATGTACATTAGGATCATAATAATGTGACTAATTACAGTGCCGTTCAAAAGTTTGGTTAGACTTTTAGATGTTTTGAAAAAAGTATTTTCTGCTCACCGAGACAAGCATTTTTTAATTAAAATACAGTAAAGCAGTGATATTGTGAAATATTATTAAAATTTAAAATAGCTGTGAATATATTTTAAAATATAATTTATTCCCATGTTCAAAGCTGATTTTTCAGCATCATTGCTCCAGTCTTCTGTGTCACATGATCCTTCACAAATCATTATGATTTGCTGCTTGAAAACATTTGTTATTATCAATGTTGAAAACATTTGTGCTGCTTCATATTTTTGTGGAAACCGATAAAAACTTTTGTAACATTATACTTGTCTTTACTTTCAATTTTTTATCTATTTAATGCATCCTTTAATATATATATATATATATTACTGACCCCAAACTTTTGAACGGTAGTGTAAGTTACACTATTACTTTACCTTACAGAAAATAAATATTTGCCATACTTTCACATGAAAAAAGTATATGGACAGGCTATTTTGTTAGGACTGTTCTTACAATATATTCTAAAGTTACAAAATACTGGTGACACTTTATTTTACAGTGTTCTTGTTAACACGTTACATGTAGTTACTGTAGTGATAACAGTAAATGATGCAGAACCCTAAACCAAAACCTAATTATATAGCTGTAAATTAATATTACTCAGTACATAAATGAAATTACACTGTAACAAGGACAACTTAAAATAAAATATTTATCACACTTAGTGAATTACCAGTTTATAAAACCATGTAAATGATTTGATTACCTCAAATAAGAGTTGCATTTAAACTGCCTTTCTGTGACTTACTTCACTATAACTAATAGATATTTGATGTTTCTCCTCAGCTCTCCTATGGATCACGTGTATTATGACCCAACGGACTACTTTGACATAAGTCAACATGAGGTGGACAGACAAGATGACCTGGAGTACGAGGTCAACATCGTCTCTTAACTTCCTCTACTGCAAAATAAGCTTCTTTTAGCCTGAAATACTGGCAGAAGAGGAGCATCTTATCTCTGTTAGTTTAGCTCTCTCTCTCTCTCTGTTTTCCTTCAGGAGGTGGAATTGTATAAATCTTGTCAGCAAGATAAACTGGGTTTAATGGTGTGTTATCGCACTGATGATGAAGAGGATCTGGGCATCTACGTGGGAGAGGTGAGAAATGGGGAATAACGGGAATCTGCTGACCGATGAATAATGAATGAAGCCTTAGGGAGGATTGTGAACCTACGCCCTTCTGCTTCAGTGTTGGATAAATCATTATTTTAAATAAAACGCCATATTAAATCCAGAACACTATTTCATCTCTCAAGAATTAGTGAATGTGCACACGGTAATCCTACTTAAGCTGGACAATTACAATGCAATTACACCTTGTTACTTAATTCAATTTTGCAAACTGTATATTATTAATTCTTTATATCATGGTCTGTCTGAATACTCGATTCAGATTGGCTGAAAGGTGTGCAATAAAACCGTTTAATGCACAGGTAGTTTAATCACAGCTCTAAATCAATGCATTGTTTCTCTCAATGTCTCTAATAAATGCTATAATTCATTCATTGAAATAAATGTAGTAATTTTACGCGCTACTTTATCTCTGTAAAGTTTAAAATTATTGGTAGCACTTTATTTTACAGTGTCCTTTTGATTCAAAGCGGGCAGAATGCTAGATCTAATAACCATCGTTTGTATCCTTTCAGGTCAAATATTGCACTGCAAACTCAATAAGTTGTCAATGCTGGCAAATGACCATGGTATAATCGTTATAATCTATACGGCTAGCTGTGCATTCAACGATTTCAATGCACGATGTGGAGACAAAGAACTTGACGCGAAGCCTAATATAATGTTACATTTGAAGCATGTGATTTTGTATTTAGTTTAATATGCAGAGACAAAGGCAAGCCATTTGCAGGGTATTTCAACATAGGGTGATTCAAACGATTGCTGTTCGAACATCCCAACCAGCCAAGGGTAGCGGGAGTGTTTAGGAAACTTGTTTGAAAGCGGTCACTATTTCTGTACACTCTGTTTGTTGTAGATAAAGCTGTAAAAATTACAGCATATGTTTAGATTGCAGAAATGACTCTTTTCAAGCTAATTTTGAAAGAAAATGTTTAAGATCAAATATGCCACAGATGCTGTCGGTGATCACATACATTTACAGTAAAAATTTACAGTGATATAGTGTTGCATTAGAATAAATAAAAATGTTAAAATGCAGTGGATATATAAAAAAATAATTCACTCCTCGTTAAAAACTGATAACTCGCAATTGCGAGTTTATATCTCACAATTCTGAGAAAAGATGTCAGAATCTCGAGATACAAACGCGCAATTATGTGTTATAAAGTCAGAATTGCGAGATGTAAACTCGCAATTGTGAGAAAAATAGTCAGAATTTTTTGTCTTTTTTTCTCGCAATTACGACTTTATTTCTCAGAATTGCGACTTTATATCTTGCAATTGCAACTTTATTTCTCACAATTCTGACTTCATATCTCGCAATTGTGAGATAAAAAGCCGCGATAAATTTTTTTATTTAGTGGCGGAAACAAGCTTCCATACATTTCAGAGAAATAATATACAAATAAAAACTTAGAACAACCTGCAAAAGTATGCACCCCCTTTTATAAATTGGGTATGTGAGTGTGTTCAATCATCAAGCTCATGTAAAAGCAGAACACACAAACCTGTTTTAAGCTAAAGTGACTGTAAACAACAGGTTTTCTGATATATCCAGTCTCCCAAATGTTTCACTTTGATTTTCAATGGCATTGCATAGGTTGTAGTTTTCACATTAAATGTGCAAAAGTTCTGATATGATTTATCTTTGTTTCATTTTTTACATCACAAAACCCACTATTTTAACAGGGGTGTGTAGACTTTTTAATATCCACTGTATGTTTTGACTGTTTGGAAGCACTTGCCCCCACAGCATATCCGAGGGAGATGTATAAATTTACACTATGTACATTTTTGTTTTAAACTATTATTTGTGTTATATATTTATAAAGCAGAAATAGTATTCTTGTATGCAGCAACCGTCCCCGGCACTGATTCTGTATCATAATTGCAGGTCAACCCTAATAGCATTGCTGCCAAGGATGGCCGAATCCGCGAGGGAGACCGAATACTGCAGGTAACTGAAGCCAAACTATGTTATTATCCGTCTGAAAACAGATTAACGATACACTGTTCACAAGAGGTCCAATAATGATCAACTTCCTTGATATCAACCAATCAAATTTTAGAGTATGGTTTAAGGTTGGTGGCTTATTGTAGACCATTTTATATTGCTTCATCGACTGGAACATTGGGTTGGCTTCACTGGTGTTGTGATCAGCTGGCTAAAATCATATCTTAGTGATAGGAGTTGTATTGTTAAAATTGGAAATTGTTCCTCGACACTAACATCTTTGTCCTGTGGCGTTCCCCAGGGCTCAGTTCTGGGTCCTTTATTATTCAATCTTTACATGCTACCACTTGGTAAACTCATGAAGAAAAATTCAATCTCCTACCACAGTTATGCTGATGACACACACATTTATTAACCTCTAATGCCTAATGACTATACCCCCATTGAAACTCTCTGTCAGTGTATTGAAGAAATAGATACTTGGATGTCACCGAACTTTCTCCAGCTTAATAAAAATAAAACTGAGGTTATCGTTTTTGGAAGAAATGAGGACAAATTTAAAATCTCTACCCTGCTCGAAAAAAAGGGCTTAATAGCAAAGGAAGTGGTAAGAAACCTTGGTGTCTTAATAGATAATAATCTAAAATGTTATAGTCACATAAAAACAATCACAAAATCAGCATATTTTCATCTTAAAAATATCAATAAACTTAAAAATGTATGTCTAAGGAGGATCTTGAAAAGATCATACATGCTTTTATTTCTAGTAGGATTGATTATTGTAATGTGCTTTTAACAGGACTCCCCCAAAAGACTTTAAAACCTCTCCAAATGGTACAGAATAGTGCAGCCAGGATCCTTACAAAAACTAAAAGAATAGATCGTATAACTCCAATTTTAAAGTCCTTACACTGGCTCCCAATTAGATACAGGATTAATTTGAAGGCACTTTTACTAGTTTTTAAGTCAATAAAGGGGATGGGACCTAAATACCTTCATGATATGTTTCAACAGCATACTCAACCAAGACCCCTTAGATCACAGCATAAACAGCTTCTACTAAAACCTATTGTTAGAACAAAACAAGGGGAAGCTGCTTTTAAATACTTCGGCGTCCATCTCTGGAACCAGCTCCCAGAAAACATAAAAAATGCTTCAACTATTTTTTTTAAATAGATTAAAGACCAAGCTTTTTTCAGATGCTTTTTGTAGTTAATGCGTAATGAATGCATCTTCACATGTGTATATATGTGTATTATTGTATATTTTTGTGTATTAATCTCTTTTATGTCTTTGCTGGTGTTTTATATATATAGAATTTTAATTATTTATACTATATTGTGTGAAGCGCATTGTATTGGTGCTATGCATGAAATGCGCTATACAAATAAAATTGCCTTGCCTTGCCTTTAAAATAAGGATGCACAATATATCGGCCACCATTTTTAATGTTATCGTTATCGGCCCGATAAGAAAATTTGGCCGATATATATTAAAGCCGGTAAATGTATTTTTTCCTTCAGGTGCCCACTGTTCACCATAATGGTTTTGAATTGCTTGAAATATGATTTTAATCACTTCAAACTTGGAAAATACTGTAAAGTGCAACATTTGCAGCGCAAGTCCGTCATATCGGCTGCATAAAATTATAAGAACATCATTATAATTGTGTTTAGGACATGGGTTTAAATGATGAGACTTTTGTTTTTGTAATCAGGCTCTCACAACTTATATAAAATTTTGGATTTAGATTTATCGGCCAATATATCGGTTATCGGCTTTCAAACATAAAGAGTTATCGGTATCGCACAAAATGTTAATATCGGTGCATCCCCAGTTAAAAATCATTCTTTTTAATAATGAGCTACTAGATGTTGATCCTATTTGGTAAAATCATGTTGTTGTATTTTCTGCTTATACATAACCCTTCCAGATTCTGTAAGATGTTAATCGTTGTTTTTAAAATAAGAGGAATAATAATAAGATGAATCATACATTTTACATCTGCCCCGAAGAACCTATTTGACATAACATTAGGAAAATGTTTATAAAAATAAAGACAAACCTGAAATTACATAATCAATGTTCAAATGATTACATACTGGTTCTTATTAAAACTCCTCTTTAGGGCAAAATAAACAAAACAATAATAATAATAATACAAAATACAGAATAAGGGTTATGTAAACTCATGAGCACACACATCATCTGTGATGTGAAGTGTTGTAAATGTGTGTTTGTGTTCAGATAAACGGGGTGGATGTCCAGAACCGAGAGGAAGCAGTGGCCATCCTGACCAGAGAGGACAGCACCAACATCTCTCTGCTACTGGCACGGCCAGACATCGAGGTGAGACTCGCCTTCAATTCATAAACCGCAGTCAGATATCAGCGCTCGATTCAATTAAGTTAATCGCTTTCATAGAGAGTTTTCTTATTGAAGCAGGAGAAGTTCAAATGAAAAACATGTTTACTTATTATCTTTTGAATTGTTTTGCAGCATTCAGTCTTTATCTCACCAGTCACACCGCATTCACATCTAGAGCACAAACTCATAACTCGAGGAAATATCATTTCTTATGCTGCGAGGCGTAGATTTAGAAGCAGCACTGGGCGAATGTTTGGTGAATGTTAAAGTATTACTGAAGCTATTAATGACAGCTAATTTGATATTCAGACATTACGTAAAGTGTATTATGGAGTGCTTATTCAAGCAGTGACAGACAAATGTGTTATAGTGTACAGGTGAACACATGGCTTCGATCTGTTCTCCGTTTACAAATGAAAGCAGACAGAAAAGGGCAGAGAAGGACAAAAAACCCAGACGAGGAAATAAATAGAGAGAGAAAAAAAAACACAAGGAGAGATGAGGACACATGGGCTGGTTTGGCAGTCTTTTGTTCTTCTCAAGGTCACACTTTAGAGAAAGAGACACACTTAGGACATCCCATAATACACATCCTCCAATAGTGAGTCACAATATCCATTTTATTTCCTTGAACACATATCCAATGCAGTCTGAGACATCGGCTTTGTTCAGAATGGAAGAGTAGCTACTAATTGAGCACTAGTATACACTATATACTGCATAGTCTTTTCTTTTTAGCGTGTGGGAAAGTAGGGATTATTCCATGATAAGCATTTCAAACAATATCACATGACCACATTACATTGCAGTTTAAGTGAGTGACATCCAATTATCATTTTGGAAAACTGTTATTCTGCTATTTTGTATAAAATATCTTAATATTGGCAGTGTGATCAAATAACGAAACAAAATGAGAGTTTCATCCATCGCACTGAAATTGAAGGTCAGCTTAAATGTGCGAGGATCAAAATCAACAGACTAAGTTTAAATAAGGACAAAAATGATAATGTCTCAATGTCTTCTCTCTGTGTGAGTCTCTTCATTGATTGGTCCCAAAGCTCATGGTCTGTCAGCATGCTTTAACAACCAGATTTATCATCTTTAGCCCTTGTGGAAGCCATAGCAACAGTCCGTATCCCACTGGTAAATATTTAAATAAAACATAATGCAAACCCCCCAAGGAATCACCCAGTTCATGAATACAAATAGACCAAAACAGCATTTGAAGTCTGAGGCATGTTTATGAAGTTAATTTGCCATGATGCTATTTGACACAAAAGCTGTACAAGAGAACAAGGTAATAAAGATCGCAAAAAATGCATCTTATTTGCATATAATAATCATGATAAACTCAGGATGCTGATTTTGAACCCAGAAAGATATTCATTTGTGTTTAATATAACATACAAGTCTATAGCCAATGAAGATGAAAAAGCTGTATGTACACCATTGGTCTGAATAAAACCCATTTGGGCCCAGTTCTAAAATAAAACTCCATCTTTAATTGCATTCAATATTTTTCTCTAGAAATCTGTCAGCTGTATCCATAGGGTTTGGCACAAAGTAAAAATCTATAATTGAGATTCTTTAAAAACAGTTTGTGGAAAATCATTAAACCAGAGATGAGAATAAGAACCAATAAACAGTGAATGGTCATTTGGGAAATAGTCACTGATTGTACAGTTTTAGGATTTGGGGTCAGTAGCACACAAGTGTGTGTGTGTGTGTAAGGATGGAAGGTCCAGATGGTGTGTGTGTGAGCCCTTGGGCCAGTATATTCCCCAGCACAGGTGGCTCATTTGAGAAACCTCTCACATTTAAAGGCCTCCTACAACAGATGGGAAAAGACCCTACAATCAGTTACAGCATCCACGACTAGGCTTCCATTGACAAACACTGCCCTCTGCTGTTCAAACACAGACGTCTTCATGTGTTTGCTGCTGTCGACCAATCAGCATGTTTTTTAAGCAAGTTTCTCTACTACACTTTTAGAAAAAAAAAGGTTCTATATAACCCTTAAGGGTTCTGTTAGGCGCTTCATATATAGGCCAATCCACACCGCACAGACTAACGCAAAAAAAAACTAGTTTGTTGGGTTTTGTCGGATCAGTGGTTGGTGTTGGTAAGGGTTTATTTTCACTCAAATGACCATGTGAATTATTGTCTGTTGGGTCAATGTGAACAAGTTATTTTTTTAAATAAAATTCTAAACCCAAAAGCCAACTTGTTTGTTGGTGTTCGTTGGCATTTTTCTGTGCAGTGTGAATGGAACATTTTAAGGGTATCATCATGATCATTTTATGAATTAACCAGCTCGTAAACATGCTTTATCACTAGAAAATGTTTTAAATAACCTGTTAAAAATTAAATTATTATTCAATAAGTTAAGACACTTCTCCTTGTATAGAACCTTTTGGTATAAAATTGAGTCAAGAACCCTAGGGTTCTATATAGAGACCCATTGAACCCTTTCTTCTAAGAGTGCAGTACGATTTATAAAGTATTTTGCTAATTAAATTTGTTTTCTTCTTGTTTCCTATCATCAACAATCCACATCTTGGAAGAATGAGGCTGATGATCTGGATTTGGAGTTGAGTGTGGGCCTGGATCTAGAGGACTTGGAAAACGCCACTAACTTACCCAGCCCTCAACACCAGAGGAAAGCGAGCTCCTTGCTGAGTGACATCACTGGGATCAGAGGAGGTCGCCCCAATTTGTGGCACACTGCCCTCAATAACAGCCAGGAGCTGGACAGCGGGGTGGGTCGCACAGATGAAAGCACGCGCTGTGAAGAGTCCTCCGAGCTGGCGGATGATCCCACCAGTGCATGCACCACCAATGCCACCAACACACCCGGCAGTTTGCGCAAGTTTCGCGCTGCTCAGCACGGGTGGGAGTTTCACTACAGCAACGACTCGCTGCTAGGGCCGGATGGGGTGGGAGTGGCGGATCACGGGGTCCCTGAAACACTGGGCTCAGTGACCAGCAGAGTGCTCATGCCAGGTTTAACTGAAGAGGAATATGAACGTTACCGAGAGCTACTGGAGATCCGGTGCCTTTACGAGAAGAATGGAAACGCACTTCTTCTTTTGGACGGGAGGAACCATGGCGCAGGAGGAGGCGTTCCTGTAGACATGAATTGTAACGAGAGCCTGATGCAGCACGAGATTTCCCTTCTAGATGAGGAAATACGTCACCTGGAGTTCAAGTGGCGCAATGTTTTGCGGGCTCAAAAGATGAATCAGTTGCGCCAACGCTGCCTAAAGGTCTGGCCAGCTGACGAAGAGGACGATGAAGAAAAAGGAGCAAAGGCGAGGTGTGGAGGTGCAGAGGCGATCCACCATGAACTGTCAGATATCAACGAGATCCCAGAAAGGGAACGCTCTGACAAGGAGAGCACAAGCGCCTATAACACGGGTGGGGAAAGTTGCAGAAGCACACCTCTGGCTAGCGAACGATACCCCTCGCCCTCCGCGGCGGGAGATTCCAGTGCCTCTGCAACCATGCGACCTCGGACGCCCCGTCACAGGACAAGCACGAGCCGGGAGAAGAATCTAAACACACCTCCTTCATCAGATGCCAAGAAAAAGAGTGAAGAACTCGGGGACAACAGAGACTCTACTCCAGCAACAAGGCTTCGGTCAGTATCTCGTAATGGCGGCAGCAGTAGGAAGGGATTGGATGGAGCACGAAGGGGGTCCCATGCTAATGGGACTCTCACTCCCGGGATAGTGAAAGGGGGAAGGAGTGCAGAAAACAGTCCGTACCTGTCCCGACGCCACTGCAGTACCACGCTGCCTCAACGCTACCAGAGTTGCATGCAGTTGAGGGACATTGACAGTGCAGAAGTTCGGGACACCCCTGAACAGGTTCCTGCTCACTCCAGCACAATAACTTGTGCAAACAGAGAATCCACCGCAACTTCTTTGATCATACCACCAACGCTGCCTCCATCTTCACCTCGAATGGAGTGGAAGGTAAAGATCCGCAGCGACGGCTCACGCTACGTGGCGAAGCGTCCGGTAAGAGACCGTTTGCTAAAGGCTCGCGCCATGAAGATTCGGGAGGAGCGCAGTGGGATGACCACGGACGACGATGCGGTTAGTGAAATGAAGATGGGACGCTACTGGAGCAAGGAGGAACGCAAACAGCAGCTCCTGAGAGCTCGGGAGCAACGGCGACGCCGCGAGTTCATGATGCAGAGCCGACTGGACTTCTTGCGAGAGAAAGAGAAGGAGCAAGACTCTGGACCGCAGGGACAGGCTTCCATACTCGAGCTGAGCCAGAAAAAGAGTATGAAGAAACGCAGCCGACGCATCCTGGACAACTGGATCACCATTCAGGAGCTCCTGGCTCATGGGACCCGTTCAGTGGATGGGAAGAAAGTGTACAACCCTTTGCTCTCCGTGACCACTGTTTGATAATTGGAGTGCAATGAGATCTTTTAACTATTTGAATTACAAAGTTTACCAATGATTTGCGGCTGTCTGATAGAGATGCCTAGCAGTTTAATTGAGAAACAATGATGATGAATATAAAACGTACAAAGAAAAGTACAAGACAGAAAGGCAAAATGTCAAATGAATGTATATGGGACCAGCACGCATAAGTTGTTTTTATGCTTGAAATTTCAGAGTTGCATTCAGACTGTTACAATGCAGCGGCTGTCTCGAGCATTTCCAAACCAGATCAATCTTTCATAAACACTTTTTAATCGAAGAACATTTAATGATAAGAGAAAAACAGAGCAACCAAAATTCATTTAAGTTCAATTTAGGGCCTGTTGCATAATCACCTTAGAGTAGTATTACAAGCCTAATAATTAAGACTAGTACTAACTATTTTAAAAATCAGTTTCATTTTTTTTTTTTATATGAAAAGACAGCCAATCCTTTGGCTAAGTTCAAGGTGGTTAGAAAAGTTTTTAAGACAGTCATATGCGTTTATGAAAATGGCCCCAGATCTCATGAGATTACCAAGTTAACCTGGTGATTGGTTATGAATTTGCTGCTGTTGTTTAGGCGCAATATGTGTGGTTTTCTTTACTGGCAAAATTATGAAAATAGCAAAAGCACAATAAACAACAACAAAAGAATGAGCCATTACTTGTTGCCAATGAGTTCATTTCACAATTTTCGAAGCACATGAATCATTAAAAAAAAAAAAAAAAAAAAAAAAAAAGGACAACAAAAAAAGGACAACAAAAATACAAAAAGCAAAAAAGTTTCAGCACACAAATATTGGCACAGCGGTAATGTCAATTGTCAAACACTGACATTGTCCAAAGAAAAAATATCTGATAATATTTTTGTGGTACATTTGTCAACACATTTTAATCACTCTTAAAACTATTTTGTTGTCAGCTTGTAAAATCACATTTGAAACTGTTTTTCTGATATTGTTAAAATTTAGCATGTTGTTGTCTGGGAAATATTTAAATTGTTGTGTGAAACTGTCGAGTGAAATTGTTGTGTCTTTCTGTAATACAGATCATTAATATACTGTGTCCAAATGTTCATTTAACACCTTGCAGGTCTAAAATGGGGGAATTTCTGTCCCTAAATGTTTTTGAATAAAATTTTTGCAACTTGACGATGTTTGATTTTCACCTGTTATTTGCAAAAACAACAAAAAAACATCAATACAGAAACAAAGTTAATGTTTGTGCTAAATAAAATGAGCTGAAGATGCTTTTGATCTCAAATACAAATGGACATTAATGTGCAAGAACCTTCATTTGGGGTTTAAAGTTATGGATAAAAAAATTACATGACACTGGATATCATCTCTTCATTTATTGGATGTACAATTATGAAAAATAATAATCATAAAAAAGACTGGAAGCCCAAGATTATTTACAATCGTTCTCTTTGATTCTGTGGCAAGGTCTCTCAGAGATACCATTGTCAGTCTCATGCTCACTTACACCATGATATGTTGAGCTTTAAAAAGACGTTCCTCTCTAGATATGACAAAAACATGACCAAAAAATAAACAAAGAAAAAAAATACATACAGTACATACATATACATATATATATAGAGAGAGAGATATCTATAAAAGCATAATCATTCAAGTATCAAAAGACAGATCACCCAGGATTACTTTACAATCCAATATTGTTTATATTTTAATCATTTAGCCATGAGTATGATCTGAACTGTCACCGTTGTATTCGCTAATGTGATTAGTTGTGCAAACACTGCGGCTGTTACAGGTGCTAGCATTAGCATCTGCTTGTATTTAGCACTGTACCCATTTTTAACGTACCATGTTAAAAACGAAGATTCAAAATAAATCAAACTAAAAAGTACCAGACTTAAAATCCTTGTAAACTAGGGCTAAATGCATATAGGAATATTTCCCATCTAAACCTCATATTTATGCATTATTATCTACACAAAATATAAGCACAAGTTTGTCTACGACGGATGAATATGCTAATTTAAACCTTTTTATCGGTTTCATCATAATTTTTTTGACATACCCTGCTTTCTGCAACTTAATCATTAAAAGGAAGGAGACAAACAGTTCAATTAAGAAACTCTACACATAAAAACAACTCGCTGTTGTTTGTAGTGTCACATAAACGCCATCATTTTGTATTAGAAATCACAGTATACGTGTAAAAGTCACTACAAGTACCAAGATCTGGACTGTACCAATCTCATGCCATCATAAAGTTATTAACTAATCATAATAGTGTACCATAAGACGTCACAACACAGAGTATCTCCCGTTAAACTGGCATTGAGTTTCTGTCAAACCTTTCCTATTGAAACTCGTACCATAGTTCACATTCCTTATGCTTGAATGGTCTTGCCCATATTGTTTAGCTTGACAGACGTTTGTACTAAAGCCTGAAATACTGACAGTAAGAATCAAACATCTCAACTTACGGATGGATTGATCTGAATCGGACATCAAAAGACAAGACTGAACTCTCTAATCAGTGTTTTGTTGAACTAGAATCAGTGTTTTTAACTTACGGCTTTTATTTTCAAAGTTATCAGACAAAATAAAAGCATCTGCACTTTGTGAGATGAAAGACCATCAGTTTAGACGACAGAATCACAGATAAAACAGGAGTGTGTAGACTGTCGCTTCACAAAGAAAGTAAAACAAAACTCGACCGAAATCAAAGCAAAGACAACGTCAACACTGGCTCTTGTTATCGCGTGAGAATACAGTGAGTCTTTGAACACGTCTGAAGTCTGAAAAAAGCAAAATGTTTTTCAAAGGGAGAGGTTTCGGTACGGAGAGTTAAAACAGTGTGCGAGCGGAGCAGCGGACGGGACATTTTCTGTCTGTCTTTGGCCCGTGTGTTAAATGGGATGGGAGGAGATCACTGCAGGTGTGAGTAGTCTTCACACACTTACATATAACTCTATAAAACGGCGAACACACACACACATGAAATACAAGTGATGCTTCATCCACAGTCATGGCATCCCAACTTTCCTTTCTGTTTGGCATCCGACACACTGGTCAGCTACAGGGAGACATACACACACAGGGATTAAAACAAATCAAACAAATAAAGTGTGGGATCTAGTTAACATGCCAATACCATTTACAATAGATATGAGAACAGAGAAGAGAAGGAGTAGTACCAGTAATTTCCCCCAATAAATCTTCTCCCCTTTGGACCCTAAAGAGTGCATCGGCTGCTCAAAACTGGTCTTGATATTTTAGGCCGCCTGACTAGAAATCACACATTACCAATGCTGACGTATGTTCTGGTGTGTAAGTCCGAACCAACTGAATAATCTACAATATTCTTGCTGAATATCCCGTTTCACTCAGAAATGCATCCGATTAAAATGGGATACAAATGACATTTCACTGTGGCTTTAATTACGCATCAAATATCATGTGATATAACCAGGGCTTGATATTCATTTTTTTGCTCACCAGCCGCTGTGGCAACTGGTTTTCCAAAGTTACGAGGCACTCAGCATTTCCACTGGCCACTATTTGGACGTCGACACCATGGGGAAAAACTGCCATATAGATATTTTTAATATTATCGCATAATTTGTCAGCAGGTTTATTAGGCTGCTGTCACTTTAAGACCTGACGCACAGATCCATTATTCTGTTACACGTGCGTTTTCTCTCCTTTACATTCACTTAAAACATGTCTACACATGAATACTCACAAAGACTGGCATTTTGACATTATTTTGTGTGTATTTGACTGTATAAGCGGCAAAAAAACAACAACTCAATTTAGTGCTGAGAGGCGGCTTTATGTGCCACAGTTCAGGTGTGAGTGCAAAATCTGCGGGAATGAGTAAAATTATGGCCAATACGTGCAATCCCACGGCTAAATTCAAGCCCTGTAACACCAGCAATATTCATCCGGATTAAATAAAACGAGTGAGTGAGTGGAGGCGGGTTTGTGCATCACTCGCTGTCGGAGAGAAGAGGGAGAGAGAAAGAGCAGCTGGTGTCCGGTATCTATTCTGTGGAAAATCAGTATTGGAAACGTTTCAGATATTTCAGTGTATCGAAAAATCTATATTTTTGACAACACTACATTGCCACAGTTTAATATTTCAGATGCCTTTTTAAAAGAATACAATAGAAAAATGTATATATTATATGTGGGAGTGACTACGTTACAAAATACTGAAATGTTGAAATACACCCACATTTGGCAGCTGTTAATGTCAAGCCCTGGATATACAGTAACTTCATCAACTATACTGTATATATGGTTCTCTATATGTTTTGTTCAGTTAGCACGCTAACCGATTAGACCTTCAAGACTTCATGCGTCTCCCTGCTCACTTTCTCAGATGATTATTGTACATAATTAATATTTATTTATAGTCATTCGCCCATCAGGCTTTATTTGGGGATAATGACCGGGAGGACTATAATGGATGTGTCTCAATCAGCTCCCCAGGTCGTGAATCATCATATCGTATATTATATCCACATTGACTATTAGGCATTACAAACGGCTAGCCCTTGGGGTCCAGAGGGAGAGGACTTTGAGGAGAGAACTGGATAATGCACAACAGAAGCAGCAGACTGACGTAAAGGGACAATTAGAAACGTTTCAGGATGAAGAGAGTGGCACTGGACACTAGACTGGACCAGATGCTGATCACAGGTCAATAAACACAACTTTATCCTTTATATTAACTTTTGATACTGAACTAATTCTGTCATCGCTGTACAACTGTCCTTACTGTAAAAGGATGCAAAAATAAAACTGGCTGCCAGTGTGTCGTCATATGAAAGCCATATTTCTGCCACACAAAGAACATAATCATAATTATGAAATAAAACGTCAAATTTATAAGGTCATAATTATAAGATAATTAAGAGGTTAAAAAGAAAATGATGAGATAAAGGGTCGTAACTGAGATATAAAGTCATAATTTTGACAAAAAAGTAAGTCATTATGACTTCTGCCCTACGACTTTTTTCGACTGGTCAATTTCAGCTTTTTGAGTTTTTAATCTAATAATTTCCTATTTTTACATAATTTATGATTTAGCAAGTCAGTATAATTATGAGAAGTAAAAGTAGTCAATTTCAACTTTTTATATCATATTTATGATTTAGTATGTCACTTTCAACTTAGTCTGGCATTAAAAAGTCAATTATGACTTATTTCGACGTCTCATAATTATGGCATACTACCTCATAAACATGATATAAAAGCTGAAATTATGAGATATGTTAGGTATGACTTACCAAAGCATGTTTTTTTGTTTCTTATGTGGCGGATGGGCTTCCATATCATCACGATATTCAGAACGCGGTGACATTTAGTTTTTTCCCCGGATAAGTGTTGTGTGTTTGTGAATGCACCCATATTTTACATGATCGCGTGAGAATTTTTAAGGCTTGTGAGGAATACATGAACATAATTCCACATTTAAATCCCAAAGAAAACAAGACAAAACTGCTTTTCTAACCCACAATGGCATTTGATCTTGTACGAACCCACGTTTCCTACAACACTGTTTCAGTCTGCTTGTGCGTGCACCTCCTGATTACGCCTATAACAAGCAGTCGCTGTTACATCTGACTTTGATGCCTTGACGTCAGACACATTTTGAGCTGGCGATCTGCTCAGACACCTCTTTGTGATTTGGTTCAGACATTTAGGCCCAGCCTGGTCTGCTAACTCAGACTTAAGACAACACATCATATCACAGTGCTAAACGCAAATCCATATACTGGCAGCAGAATTACATTTACAGTGAGATACTTCAATCCCAATTCAATTAACTTCTACAGTACTTAAGGACGCTTCTGCCAGTGTGTTAGGATGGACAGAATGTAGAGCATCAAGTAGATGTGCATAGTAACATAACAGGACTGATAATAATCCATATAGCCCTCACAGTCCATCATAATATTTTTAGATGTCAGTAAGTGAGCTAAAAGAACACAAACTGCAAACGATGCTTAACATCGGATCATTTACTCGCACTTTCCATGGAAAAGGGTACAAAATGGAGCTAGACTAAAACTTAAAGGATAGTTCACCCGAACATGAAATGTCTGTCAGTAATTACTCGCCCTCGTGTCGTTCCGAACCCGTAAGACTTTCGTTCATCTTCAGAACACAAATGAAGATCTTTTCTGTCCCTCCATTGACAGTCTACGCAACTACCACTTTCAAGCCCCAGAAAGGTCATCATGAAAGTAATCATGTGACTCCAGTGGGTTAACCTCGATTTTATGAAGCCACGCAAAGTGCTTTGTTTGCGTTTTTGTTTTCATTTGTGTTCCGAAGATTAAGGAAAGTTTCACAGGTTCGGAACGACACGAGGGAGAGAAATTAATGACAGACATTTCATCGCTTTAAAGTCAAGCCATTTTTTTATTCTTTGTAGCAAAGGGAAAGGAGGCGCTCAACCTTTGTCCATCACCTCAACTAAATATCATACAGTTATTATAAGAGTATTATACAAATATGATTACTTTTATATGAATTCCTAAACGTTGGGACATGTTTGAATACTGTTTAAAACAACGATTTATGTGACGTGTGCTTTTAAAAAAAAATAAACATTAAATAAATTACATTTGTAAAAAAGTTTTTTTTTTTTTTAAACCCAACTAAATAAAATAGAGAATAAAATAAAAATTCAGTTTAATTGAGCCTCACTCAGTGGGTGCGGGCTAGTTTTTGGTTTGTGGTAATTCATGAACTTACCAAAGTTAAATACATATATCTGTTTAATCCTTTTTTTCTTACAGTAACTTTGGTTACAGGGTTGAACATCTGACAAATGCAGTCAATGATATTTTGCTTAAAAAATAGAAAATGACAAGAGATTATTTGAAAGGTCCAAATGATTTTATGAAAAACTATTATAAAAAATAAAAAAGTAAATAGTGCACTCAAATTATGGGACACAGCAACATATATTTTTGGCCATTAATGAACATAATTAGGTAATTAATGATTCAAGTGAAATAAAACACTTCTGTACTATTTTGACTGTTGGCTGTACATGCTATCATGTTGTTTTTTTTACGTTAGATAACGGCTCATCTAACATGTTATTAGTTCTAACACTTTACAATAAGGTTCATTAGTTAACATTAATGTATTAACTAACATGAACTAACAATGAGCAATACATTTGTTACAGTACTTATTAATCTTTGTTAATGTTCGCTAAAAAAACCCAGCTGTTCATTGTTTGTTCATGTTAGTTCAGTGCATTAACTAATATTAACAAATACAAACTATCAGTAAATGTTGAAATTAATATTGACTAAAATTAATAAATGCTGAAGAAGTATTGTTCATTCTTAGTTCATGTTAACTAAGGTAGTTAACTAATGAACCTTATAGTAAAGTGTTACCGTTCTAATTCTAAATATGATGTGAATTGTGCCTTTATTGCTAATAAAAAATAATTACGGGACACCAAAATGTACCATATTCATGGAAAGTGGCTTTAAAGTAATCCTTGGGGGTGTTTTTTTGATTTGACGCTACATGTTTAGTGAAGTCCAGCTGAAACTGAGGAGGAGGAGAGTCTTCATCAGTGTCACTGCGGTCGACGCCTGGTAGAGACGAGCACCACAGAAGGGAGGAAAAGAAAGAAAAACTAGTTAAGAGGAAAAAAAGGGTCAGTGTGAAAGATGGAGGTAGAGTCCTTTGAGCAGAACGGAGTAGGAAGTGTTAGTGTCTTGACGTTTGAGACAGGAAGGTTACATGACAGCACTGATGAGATGTTCTGGTCCTCAGCACTTATACTTTGGTTTCGGGACAGTTATGACACGACTACAGGGGCTCCTAAACCTACATGAGGGCGGGGGGAAATGTGTTTGAGTGAGATTGGAGGCCTCAGGAAAGGGTTGTTGGACAGCCAGAGCAGAACTAGGCGTCAGGACGGTGCGAGACAGACGGAGAAGTAAAAGGTGAATGGAGAAGGTGTCTTCCGTGTGGAGGAGAGCGAGGAGGAAGGAGTTCGGTCATGTCTATCTAGAGAGTGAAGGCACAGAGCAAAAGGAAAAGGTGTGAGAGGGGGACGAGGAGGAGAGGATCGTCCGATCAGAATATGGTGGTCTCGTACTTGGTGCTGACGGTGCGCTTGGGATCTTTGGAGTCCATGATCCAGGAC